ATCTAATTTCACATAATCGGGTTTGTTTTGAACAAGAAGCTTTTTAATGGTTCAGCAAACCTCTCAAGGAAATATTGAATATGCGTTACTTGTGTTTTTATTCCCTATAATGTCATTCACAACATTTACTCCATGTGTTACTTTAACAGAAATAGAATTGTTTGGCTCTAATGTTAATAAATGACTTTTATTGGAAACAACTGTACATGTTTAAACAGGCCATCAAATAAAGATGCTTTCAACACGCTGTATTATTTCTTTTGACATGAAATACTCTGATCCTTTTTAAAGATGCTGTACTATTGACTTTTGTACTATTCCCTCCATAATATCTGTATTTATTCTACAGCCCTGTTGCTGTGTCAATAGCACAGAGGAAACATTGGTGGTGCAGCATGTTGAAGAAGGAAGTGAGTAAATAAAGAAATGAGTAATGAATAAGTTGCTTTATTAACCTTATTAACCTTCACGCAGAGCCGTCTCACAACAACACAAACTACTGAGCTCGCTACTTCAGGTGCAACTTGAAGCTTTCATTCTGCACCAAATATCACACCACTAAATGCAATAAAACACGCGTTGTGCAGCGTGGACAGAAAGAGGAACGGCTTTAACTTTCCATCTCTTAATAACATGGTTATTGTAGCTGAAAGAAATGATTACAATAAAGTACGTCCTCATTCTGCTCTAAAGCAGGTGTGTCAAACTCATCGTAGGTCACTTTGATCTCCAGCCATGTCCAGGGCTGATATGAAGGTCCAAGGTGATTCTATGTGGACGTTTCTCCAGGTTTCATGGCTCGGCTTGACCTCCTCACGCACAAACGCATGAGGACCGTCACCGACTACTTCCTGGCTCCCTGATGGGAAGCTTCCGGATGCTTCTCTTTTTGAGGTGAATGCTTTTAATTTGTGTCGTCAGTGAAATGGATTTCTGAAGATGATTCAATGAGAGGACGATCGGGATCAATCTCTCTATGAATAAATGCTACTGACTGATTAATGCTCAAAACAAGCTCACATGGGACAGTATTACATATTATATTTGGACTTCCGTGACACTAATGCACACTTCATATGTATTTGTGTCGTATGTATGTATATAACAGAGTTTGGGTAACCTTCAATATTTATCTCCATAAAATATTTCATGCGCTTTTTAGGAGCAAAGAACAAGTTCCTGTTGTCATGCAGAAGGAAGTATTAGAATGTGACTCCAAAGCTGAAGTCATTTAGTGAGTGTTACACACTAAATGAAGACATGTCCAGGGGGCCACATGTGAATTGAGTAGATGCATCTGATTGTTAGTGTTCATCTATTTTCATTTCAGGATGTTGCATTAATGCTCATTCAGGTTTATCGTCAGCTTGATGTGGGAGCTATTATTTAGTTACTTATTCTTGAATATAGTTGGATTAATTGTTTGGGTAATTGGATCACTAATTGGCTGATGCTGTGCGCACCTGGAGGTTACTTAGGGGCACAGCCAGGTGGGACCAGCATGCACCTGGGTGACTAATAGTGTTTAGCAGTGAGACAGTGAGACAGAGCACTGCATAGGAAGGCAGACAAGTTGTATCGTATGTGTTGTGGATCCTGTGGAATAAAGGCGAAACAAAGGAAAAGATCGGCCAGACAATCCGCTTTCTTACTGCGTGACAGAAAACAAAAACTAGGTGCAGCAGTGACCCTTTGATTCAAAGATGTGTTGGTAACAAGGACAAATGGCCACTACAATTAGCATGTTTAATAAAATAGTTGTAATATGAATCAAACACAATAGTCATTTATGTGATATAATTACTGTTCACGTGAACAGCCACAATGTAACGTTAAGACCTGAGCAGCACAGCATTTCTACCTCCCATGTGCTCAGAGTGAGTTACTTCCTCTGTGGGGAAAAGCTGTTAGATCATCAGCTGTGAACAGCCTCATATGGTTTGGAGGAGTAAGAACATGATGTAGAGTCAAAGGGAGAGAGAACAGTTTCATTTTCTCTCTAGTTCAACACTGATATACAGAGTGAAGGCAAAAGATACAACTTACATGTTAAAATCAGAGTATGTTGTGATTTCCATCAGTGTGACCCGTGGCATATGGAGTACAGAGAGTGTGCTGCAAACCAGCAGGGTTGGTGGGTTCAAATCCCTAGTCCAAACGTCCCTGAGCAAGACGGCCAAACACATAACTGCTACCCAAGGCAGCTCTCCTGTTGATTTGATCTAAGAAAGATATCATCTCATCAGGAGTTGAGTTTAGGTACATCAGCCCTAACCGTAAACTGTCAACTGTATTCAACCTTAGAGAAAAAAAGGATTTATTTTCTG